TTCTTAAAGGGCTTTCCAGAAAGGAATCTAGTCTTCATCTGAAGGCATCAAGAGATGGGCCTAGTTATTCAAGCAAGTATTTTAGAAGAACTAGAGGACTAGTGAAAGAATCGTGAACTTCTCAGAGACCATTAACAGGGAGACACAGCAAGATTCAACACATGAGTGATTGTGACTTATTTGCTTGGTCTCAAAAGAGCAGCTTTGTCAGAAGCTAGGAGATGGATCACTTGAGGATTGCCTGGTCTGTTCATCCCCTCTGAAGCCCCTTCTGCTGTCAGAAGGAAGGAAGGAAGGAAGGAAGGAATCCTCCCAGCAGGAGAGTCTCCAACCCTGCAGCCTGTTCTATTTCTGCCCAGCCCACCTCAATCTCTGGAGCTCCAGCAAATGGGGCAGGGACCAGAGACGAGGACAAGGAATAGGAGGAGGCTGATCTGCCTGGGTGGTATCCCTCTCCATGCCCACACTACAGACTCTGAGCCAGTATGGCCGTTCTTATATTTAGCAAAAATGACAATAGAGGTTTGCCTTGGAGTGGGTTTAATATAAGAAAGCGTACTGCCCTTAGCAAATGTTTGAGAATCAAGTTCTACGCATAAGCTATGACATGCAAAAAAGCACTAAGGACTGGCTCAGGAGACACAATAATACAGGTTGGACCTCCCTGGTCCGGCACCCTTGGGACCTGACTGGTCCCGAAGGAAGGAATTTGCCCAACCAGGAGTGGTCCCCTGCCATGGCCCCTCAGCCCTCCACCCTTCCCTGCCATGGGCTCATTCTTTCCCAAAAAGGCTGCCTGATGACAGTCCCCAGTCCTGGCCATACTCCAGCCCTGGCTGGGCTTTCCTGCCCCTAGCCCCGCTTGGGCAGCCCTGGCCCTGCTACTGCGGCCCCAGCCAGGTTTTCCCTGCCAGGGTGCTGCGGCCCTGGTCCCATGCCGCCCAAGCAACCCATGGCCCGGCCCTGCTGCCAGGTAGCAGGCAGCTCCTGGTGGGCTGTAGTGGCCCTGGCCAGGCTGCCTCTGCCGGGTTGCCGGTTCTGCTGCTGCTGGAGCTGCTGCGGCTCCAGCCCCACTACCATCAGCTCCCAGCCGCTGGCCCTCCCGTCCTAGGGCTCTCTCGTCAAAGAACATCTATGGTCCTTCCGGACTACGGCTGTTGCCGGACCAGAGCGTCCCGGTTAAAGGAGGTGCAACCTGTACAGGTGACCCCCGACTTACGACCGCCCGAGTTATGACCCCTCATATTTACAACCGTTTTTTTCATTCAAGATAGCTCCTAAAATTCCCCAATTTATGTCCACAGCTCGCATTTACGACGGCGTACAATGCAGACTCCACGCATCATCCGAAACCGGGAAACGCACAAAGTCAGTCAGACTCGCCAGTCTGCAGCTGCTGCTTGAACTGAACCCGTCTCCGTCACATCAGTCTTCACTTTTTCATTATTTTTGTGTATTGTTTAAACTATTTAGACTAGTTTTCTTCCATTTCCATAGTCCATTTTGGTATTTTTAGGGTATGAATTGGGTTTCCAGGAATGGAACCGCCATTTATAACACTGCACCAATGAGAAGTAAGGGTTCAACTTACGACGGCTTGACTTACCACGGTTCTCAAGGAATCAATTAGGTCGTAAGTGCAGGGGTCGCCTGTCATTGCAAAAGGCAATCCCCATCAGGGAAAAGGAAGTTTTCACACTAGGGGATGTCCTGTGCCTTGAAGAGCCCAGCCCTTGGACGCAGGTGCTGGTAGGTGCTGTCCTATGACAGGGGAACTCAGAAGGCCTGTTCTGGGTTGGGACAGAGGGTCTGGAGGGCAGGCCACTGCCCCTTTTGCTCCCCCCCCACCCTCCCGTCAGCGGCCCTGCCGTAGGGTCCGGTAACGCTGCTGGGGCAGAGCTTCCCTGCTCCATTTTCTTGGAGGCAATTTAAAAGGGCTCAGGCCTCCAGGCTGCCGGCCATGAAGGGTGCTGGGGTGTGTGTTTCTGTGCCAACCCCACCCCTGCTGCCCAAAGCCTTTTGGGGACCCAGAGCCTCTCCCCCATTGCCAAGCATGCCGGGCCCACTGCAGGGCACACCAGTAAGTCCTGGCATCTGCTTTCATCTCACAGGGCCACTTGCAGGAGGCAGGACTCCAGTTCGGGTGCGTCTAGACGACACCTCTCTGTGGACAGAGAGATGGAGATTAGGCACATCAAAATCGCTAATGAAGCAGGGATTTAAATATCCCGTGCTTCATTAGCATAAACATGGCCGCTGCTTTTTTCGACACAGAGCTTTTTCAGAAGAAAAAGGCAGTCTAGGCGTGGATCTGTCGAAAATAAACCCTTTTTCGACAGATCCTGTAAACCTCATTTTTTGAAGAATACAGGATCTGTCGAAAAAGGGTTTATTTTTGACAGATCCGCATCTAGGCTGCCATTTTTTTTTCGAACACACTCCGTTTCGGAAAAAAGCGGTGGCCATGTTTATGCTAATGAGAAGACCTGTTCTGGGTTGGGACAGAGGGTCTGGAGGGTATCAGAGCTGGGGCAGGGGGCTGAGCCGCAAGGGACAGAAAGGGCTCCAGCTGGGGCTGCAGGAAGATGCTCTGGGCTGGGATGGAGGAGTTGCAAGGGCACAAGTGGGATCAGGGCTGGGGCACAGGAGGGGGATTGGGGTGCAGGCTCCATCTGGGGCTTACCTCAAGCAGCTCCCAGAAGCAGCAGCATGTCCCCCTTCCCCTCCCTAATGGAGGCCTGGCACATCAGGAGCTGCCCCACAACTCCCCTTGACTGTGGTTCCCCG